ACATCTCAGCATATTCGATCTACTGCATGTAAAACAGGTTTGCGGAAGATGGCGCGACTGTGTCAAAAACCTAAGCGAGCTACAACCAGCTCTTTACAAGCGCGCCACACCGGTGAAGCCAGGAGACAATCCGCACTTCAAGCCTCTAAACCAGGCGATTGCCGCAGCAATTTCCTTCGACGGGCCGCCATTTGGAGAGTTAGTCCTCAAAATCGGTCGTGAATTTGAGCAACGCTTGGAATCATTGGCCGGACCTGATACGGCGGATGGCAAGACCTTCGACAATCAAAGTGGTTGGCTCCAGAAATTGGATTTCTACCAAACCGCATTCTATTCGACTACTCGTTTTGATTACCGGCATCATAACCCCAATACCAGAATGACCATAATGGAGTCCCTCCATTGCGGCAATTGTCACACGTTTCACCTCTGTTTCCAGTGGAATAACTTGCACCCGTTGCTTCGATTTTTAAAAGATATCCCATTTTTATGTATCGACGGATACAACTCGACAGTTGCCATAAGACTCAGAAGTCCAATTTCGGATTGGTGGGAACGCATCGAACCCAGATATCAGGTGTTTCAAAATGTTATGGACCTCGCAGAACGGCTGGAAGACGTGGACTCGATATGTGCAAAATCTGGGTTGCAACATGACATTGGCATCCAGCCTTCGGGTCTCCGGCTTTCGGTAGCAGTCGACCAGATAGACGACGACAGGCTTTTTTACTATTCCACGGGTACACAGAGACGATCAGGTGTACTCATCCGCGACTTCTTGGAAGGGATCATGTGGGGCAGTCGTCACTTGGCTATCACTGTACAGACTGATGCCTTAACAGAAATCGAGCCAGACGCGCTTGCCGATGCGCAAGTCAGAGTCATGGCGATGAACGAGCGTATTGCTGTGATGGAAGCCCGCTCAGCACTCTGGCGAGAACAAGCACAGAGAGGAACGGGTCGGTTAGGCAGAAGATTCGGGACGCTCTAGGGGTTCTAGGAAACTAGAACGAGAGTGTGCAATGGTGCAGATCATTCAACATGTGCTTTGTAATAAACATACTCTACCATTGCTTACTTACCATGCATCCTCAGAAGACGCGTCCATCTCACGTCCACCTCACGTCCATCTCGTTATGACCCAGCGTCTTCCTACAAGCCAGCTTACAACCCTTCCGATGCGACTTCGACAGGAATCGCTTTTCGCAGTTCAGACCGACAAGGAATAATACGCGCACAAAGCTTGAAGAGGTCTCCGAGAAGTTTCGCAAAGTCGAAGTTATGTGTTTCTTTCTGACCCTCCAACAGATAGCGATCGATAGCCGGATCTAGCTTGGCGATGCCATCTATAGCCTGCACCAGACGAACATACATGCCGCTTTCATGGTAATTAAGGCGCTGATCAAATCCGAACAGTCTTCCACGACATACGGGACAAGTGGCTCTGCCTTTCTCCAGGTGTTTCTTGAGACAGATGATACCGTGAACGTGGCCGCAGGGAGTACGGACAGCTGGCTCGGTTCTGTTCGAATGCGAGAAGGACACTCTGTAATCGTAATAACAGGCATAGCAGCGGCGGTCGGTCTCATCACTCGCTGCCATTGCTTCTTCGGTACAAGGTGTGGTGAAGTCCGATACCGCTGGGTAGATTGGTGGTCGTTTACTAGGTGAGACCTCCCTGCTCGTGTCAGAGTCGGGGTCGTTGTCTTGGGAGTCGGATGGTACGATGCCCTCCGTATTGTCGTTGTCTTCATCAGCATTTTGATCGTTCTCGTCTTCTGTGGCCTCGTTGTCATTCCCGTCATAAGATGAAGTTTCGCTGAGAGCAACGCTTCGCTCATCCAGCACTGCATCCAACTCACCAATGAACCCTGCTTGCTTGTACCGACAACAGGTCAAGTATGAAACCATACCGGTGAAAAGGTACCACTCCAGACACGTAGAGCTTCGACCTCCTTGTTCATCGAGGTACTCTTTTTGCATCCGATCGCTCAGGCCCTTGCGTAAGCTTTCATATTCCAATGTAAGCTCACGATAATGCCCTTCGGTTGGATACTGTTCTTTGCCTTTAGCTTGACGTTGCTTTAGCCATAGTATTCGGGCCGCGAGGTAGGGGTTTGCGATGGACTCCTTGAATGTGTCGATGTCTAAATTGAAACGGGGAGGGTCAATAAGCTTGAAAAAGGGCTGACCTTCGGCGCGATACGCCAATGTCCGAGCGAACAGTGCTGCATCTGCAGTGTAGACTCGATAGTAGTCTCTGGTCCTTTCCCGGTGCAACATCGGCCATCCGTCAGAGAGAGAAGCGATCTCCGTTCTCACTTCAGTGAGTAATTAGACGCTAAACCTTGATCTAGATTGTCTAAAGAGACATGATTAGCCTGGAAACAGGTGTACAAAGTCAGTACATGCATTGCATTCATTTGGCTTCGGGAATTGACTAACCACGAATGTAAGCAACGGTTGAGCTTCTGCCGTGTGTACTGAGTCAAGATCAAGGAGTTGCAGTCCAACGTGCTGCAAAACTTCGAACAATACTCGGTTGATGCGGGTTGTTGAATGGTCTAACAGTTTGAGATGTTCTTCGAATTCTATTCGCGCGGCGACATCCATCGTGTTCATTGACTCTGGTTCAACACAAGAGCTTGATCGAGATGCGTGGATGGGGCAGATGTATAAGGTCTGGATTGCTATTCTGTACCATTTGTCGATCAAGCGGTCAGCGATCTAGCAAACTCGTGGTTTGATGGCACCGTAAAAGGACCCAAACATGAAAGTAGCTTTCAGAGAATACCCACTCTTGAGTGGAGTGATGAAACCACATAGTTATCGAGCTGAGGTAGCTAAGCAGCCTCTGTGAATACAAAATCTCACGTGAACACTGCATTTTGAGTTCGCGGTTGTTCGGTCCTTGTAGCCTGGTGGTTTCAACCTTGCTCAGAAAGTGCCGAAACCCAGGTACAGGCCAGGAAACATGTTGATCATGGCAATCGCGCCTACGAAGCTGGGAAGCTGTACCGAGTCTCACGTTCGTCGATAGTCGTCGACATCCTGATACCAAAGCTTGAAACCGTGTGGGAACGATGAAATCACAGCATGAAGTGTGCTAGTTGCTATACGATAGATGGGCATAAGGCGTCGATGATTCCAGCGGTCATGGCAAGACCAACGGCGCGTCTGCTGGTGATTAGGCAAGTGCCGGTCAAACAAGATACCAGTATTTGTAAATCATGGCAAGGATACTGCAAGGATGCAATAGACCAAATGTAGTGGAAGTACTGCCCGGGCACAATCGGAGAGCGCCAGCGCACCTCGTGACGACACGCCCGGGTTTGAGGGTCGCATGATCTGGTGTCGCATAAGTATTGGCTGCACCCTTCGCCGGATGATGATCGTAAGAACGTGATACTCACCGCCATAAACACCCTGTATCTCTTCATTAGCACCTTTAATGTCTGCTAAATACTACGTCTAAGAGTTTCCACGCGTCAGTTTGTCTTCCCCGTCGATGTCGAGAGCCTGAGGTGCGACATCTGTCTTGCCCCGCCACCCCGCCTCCTCGGCTGTGGCGCCCTTATCGCTTATCGCGACATTTCCGCATCCGTCTTCGGCGCGTCATCTGCTCCTTCGCGTCGACACGCCTCAAAGGGCGGGCAGCCTCCCCTAGGAGCGTCTTACGTATCTCGAGCCTAAGGATAAAGAGCCTCGTCTCCTTTCACACGCGCAACGCGTAGTCACTTCTTTCACCCTACCCGAGCCAACACCGGCCGGACGTCCATCAGGCGGCACAACTACACCATCCTCACGTCACGATCTCCACCAAGCAGCAAGAAGCGAGACCCCATAGATTAGCCGTCCGAAAGCCTCGAAGAATCTTTCGTCCCATAGCGCCAGGCGACAGTCGCATCACTATACCACCACTAATATTCCGATCGACCCTCTGTAGTACACCATGCCGAGCTCACCAACGCAACCATTCCCTCTCTACCTATTCCCTAGCCTTCCCTTCCGCCGCCGCCGAAGCTCTGCCATCAGCACCTCGACCGCCTCCACATCTCCATCTTCGTCCCCGCCCCAGCCGACCTCTTTCTTGACAGCCCAACCGAACTCACACCTGCGCTGCCAGAAGTGCCTTGCCGACCTCATTCCCACGTCAGCCATAATAAGCAAAGGGTTCACTGGGCGTCATGGTCGCGCATACCTTGTAGGACCTCCGTCGGCATCCAGCGCGTTTGCTGGTGGTGACATGTCAGCGACAGGCTGGAAGGCGGGCGACCTACCCAACACTTTGACGCACAAAGCCCACGCTCGTCAGCTCGTCACGGGTGCGCATACCGTTTCCGATATTAGCTGTCGCAGTTGTGGTACCGTGTTAGGATGGAAATATGTCGATGCTGCCGAAGAGACCCAAAAGTACAAGGTCGGCAAGTTCATACTCGAGACGAAGAGAGTCGTCAAGGGCGCAGAGTGGGACGAGAGCGTAGAAGAGGAAGACAACGGCATGGTGCTGGAGAAGGAAGGGGATATCGAGTTCGATTCGCAGGACGAAGACGAATGCGAGGACCTCTTCAGCGGCATCTGGAGCCCCCAACTTGCGAGCAAGAGGAGGAAGCGCCGTGCCTACGGTGACATTGACTTGTCGGTGTGAGCTTGTCAACCCTTCTACATCCACAACACGCACACACTCGAGCACGGTCTGCTATGTTTACGCTACAACTCGACACGAGAAACGAACAAATACCCCGGGAAGATAGATACACTCCCACTTTTGATACCCAGGATAGGCGCATGGTTATGGCGCAACGGCTTGCTTTTGTTTAACGACATGTGTATGTACCTATCTTATGAACCATGATACAACACTACGATAATTTGATCGTCACCTACTACACTACAAGTAGTTCTCACTATGCACTGATGTCTCGTGAGCCCGAAATTAGGGCAGTAAGCTGCCAAGGCTGCGATACCCGCGCTTCCCCGGGACAGCCAACAGGCCGCGTTCACAACTTCGCGCTTGCCCCCTTCTCTCCCTTTGCCACCTCAGCAACCTCACTTGAGCTCTCTGGATTCCACCCAGCGATGAGGTCCTCTACAACATTGATCTCATCCTGTCCCCACACCAATCCGCCAACGGCTTTCCACTCGCTCGCATCTGTTTGCCTCAACACACGATACGTAGGTACGCCGCAAAGACCCAAGTCCTTTGCCTCCGCAGTCAAAGCTCGTAGTTTGGCTTTTATCTCGGGATCGTTCGCGCGCGCGATGAGGTCCGCACCGTTGAAACCGCCTTCGTCAAGAACACTGCGGAGGACAGAATCGTCCGAGACGTTTTGGTTGTGCGACCAGCACGCTTCGACTGTGTCTGATTAGCATGTTACATGACATGTATGAGACGTACTACAAAAGAACGAAAGCGCGACTTACACAACAACTTCGTAGTCTCCGGCTCTACAATAGCAACCCTCAACACAGTGGGCGTTCTGATAGGGAACGTATCAGCCCAATGAAACTTGACCTGTCGGCCGCCATCCTGCGCACTAACAGCATTCCAGTACTCCGTCCAGTCCGCGTGATCTTGTCTCGACCACCTCGCCTTCGCAGGACTAACCGCCGACCCTGGTAGATTCGGCGCACCGATCTCTCTAAACAGAATACCGAGCAGGAATGGTTTCATGACAACCTCCAGTCCCGAGCCAAAGTTACTCTTCAGTCTCTCCAGTTGCGTGTACCCCAGAAACGCCCACGGACTGCTGAAATCGAACCAAAACTCCAACTTGACACGACCGTGAGGAGTGTTCTTCGGTACGCAGCGAGGCATCAAACTCTTGAGTCCAGGCACACCACTCCACCCTTTACCCGCCAAAGAAGAAGATGATGAAAGAGCGTTCAACGTCGCCTCAACAAAATGCATACGATCCTGTCCCCAAAAGAACCTCCCTTTCTTCTCCTCGCCATCAACCCCCGTCCAAACCGCATCCGGGATCCAAAACCCAGGAACACCAAACGCACCTCTCTGGATCGCTTCTTCAGTGCTCTTTTCCAACTCTTTCCGCGCTTCAACATCAGCAAAACACTCTTCTCCCAACCCTTGCACCCCACACTCCCTCGCAATCTGTAAGAGCGTTGTATTGGAATTCACATCTTGGCCGTCTACCCAGTAGGCCTGGAATAGCCTATCCGTAAGCAGCCTCCTCTTCTCCTGATCTTTCACGCAATACAGCAAACGTAGTGCATTGACTGTTTTGCGTGGATGCTGGGGTGGTGGGTTGTATCTGATGTTGTATCTGCGTAGTGTGCGTTGCATACCCTGTGCTGTGACGGCCTTTTTGGCGGAGTTGAAGACATCGGAGGCGGAGCCGCCGGCGCCTTGGGGCGCGGATGTTGCGCGGTAGATGGCGCCTAGGAGGACGGGTTTGTAGATTAGAGTTGCGGAAGTGCGTTGGGCGAGGGATTGGACGCGGGTCGAGGCTATGTAGGCGAAAGGGCAGGAGATGTCGTAGTTGAACTCTAGGGTGGGGGCGGTTGGCGGCATGGTAGTGGAGGTTGGGTTATAGATGACGGCTAGTTGTTAAAATGCAGTATAGAAGAATGGATAAAGATGAATTAGTCTACAGATGCAAGCCATGAGTAAGCTTGGGCGACTGGTCAGCTTCAGCTCGGTATACTGTAGCGTTAATGTGGGGTAGATCCAGGTACAGCCGAGGTCCAGCTATGCGCCGGAACGCCAACACCATCTATGATGGAAATTGACTCAAAGAATTGATACATTTTTAGTATCTACCTTTTACGAACGATGTTGTCGTCTACCACACGTGATCGATCCCTCTAGTCTACGCATAGTTGAAGCTAGTTCTGCAGAGTGGACAGCTCGAGGCATCACTACTCTTGAACCACTTAAACAGACAAACGCCATGGAACAAGTTCTTGCAAGTGTGACACTTCTTGTCAGGCAACTTGCGATCGGATCCGACTATACTATAGCAGATCGCACATTCGATCTGGCCCTTGAGCGCTCCATCGACGTTCCTCTTGAACGTGGTCAACGCATCGATCAGGCTGCCGTTGAAGATCGTGATAGCTCCCAGGGAAGTTCTTAGCCATGATTGCCACTTCTGTTCGTTGACAGCAACGCGATTTAGGCCTTCGATATGGGCATTTGCGAGAGGGAATGCGGCAGGCAGAGATATCCTCATCGCCATGGTTTGTTCGTCGACAATGTAGGACGCAGTGATCTCGCGTGCGCGGTTGACGACCTTGACCGCGAATGCTGAATCGGGCTCAGATGCGGCCTGTTCCTCCGACCATGTGTTGACTGCGTTGAGGGCGGCAACAATCACAGGTGGTGACACGTACTTCTCCGTCCAAGGCTCGAGCGCAACGACTATAGCGCGCGACTTGCAGCTCTTGAACCAGGTCTTTGTCAGAGATGGAACGTCGCGTAGACACAAGAAATACAAGTGTGTCAGTAGCCACTGCAGATCGCGCTTTGGAGGCTCAACATCTGCTTCGTATGTCGTGATGTCAAGTTTGGAGACGTCGACCGGCTTGTTGTGCGCGTGGCCAAGGAAGTCGAACATGAAATCGAGCAGACCTGGAAGGTATTCACCTTCTCTGATGTGCTCGACGTAGTCGTTCTTGACCTTGAAGGATGCATGTTCCAGGTGATCGAATACCAGCAACCAGCTCAACAGATAACCGCGCAATGGCAACGGCACACTGCGTTCAAAGTTAGCGTCAGCAATCGCTGCAACCGTAGGCGCGTCGATGATCAGAGATAGCAACTCCTCGGGTAAACGCGCGGTAGTCTTCTCCAATGCCGCATCGATAGATATCTGCTCTTGAGCTGCGGGTATTTGCTTATGCAGGATGTCGAAGGCAGTTTGCTGAACAGGTTGCGACTCCACGTAAAGAAGAGGGAAAAGTTCTTCAGTGGACTCCAGATGCTTGAGCGACACCTTAGAAATCTGGCGCGCCAGCACATCATTAACCATCTTGAGTGGTTGATGGAACTCATCCGGAAAGTGCTGCGAATGCTTCAAGATATTGATAAGCCCATCAGCAACTGGTTGCTCGTTTTCTTTCCAAGCATCGAGAAGATCGTCGTTGGGCTCTTCGGCTTGCGTCAAAGTTCGGAGCTGTGCGTATAGTTTTAGGGATGCGTGCACGAGAGGAATCGGGCTATCCATGCCGGACTCGTTTGACTCCAGCTCTTTCATGGTCGCCCAGATTTCGGCAAGTGCACCCAAAATGCCAGCCCAGTGCTCACCGTACATATCGCCGACCAATGGAAGCAATACTGTCAACGCACGACACAGTTCGGCCTTGACAGGATGCGAGAGTGCGTCTTCTTGCAGCCACGGTACCACATGCTGAACAAACCGCATAAGACGAGGACCGGCGATGCTTTCCAAGATCCCCTCTTGACCCATAACACTGTTCAATAGAACAAGCTGCTGTAATGCCTCTTGCGACTTTTGCAGGGCATCGATACCTGTCAGATCGGCGATGACCTCATTACACATGCGCTCACAAGCCTTCGCATATGACAGTGGCTCCTTGAAGGCGTTCAGCAACGCAAGAAGCTGGAGGGCGTTCTTTGAACTTCGCGTCGTTTTGAGCGTTTCCCGAAGTTGAGCAGTCTGTGAATTCTTCCAACCAGCGATCTCAATGGCATCAGCGATTATGACAGCGTACGCTCGTGCGTGATAGTAAGCTGGAGATGTCGCGCTGGCGTCTATGCTCGCCAAGAGTGTGTTGGCCCAGGACAACAGCGTAGCGTCGACGTCATCCTTCGACCACGTCGCAGCAAGGCTCTTTAGTTCGTGTGTCACAAGAGTTTGAGCATCCGTGATGAAGTTCATGGCCTCGGCTTCAACGTCTGAGTTGTAGTGCGCCCAGAAACCGTTCGCGCCAGCGAGGCCAAGATTATCATCTGCAAGTTGTACAGCGATCGCAATGTTGCGGAGATAGGCAGCCCGAAGTTCAGAAGGAAGCTTGTCCATGGAGAAGTAGTCAGGGTTCTTGAAAAGCCTCGCCACATATTGCGTGATTCTGTATGCAGGAGAGTAGCCATCTGCGTCTCGGGACATGGTCCTGATTGTGGAGGGCATCTGTCCATCCTTCACAAGATATACGGCGCCACCAAGGGGATTCGTGATAGCGAGAGATGATTTTGGTGCAGCATTGAGGAATGGCTCTAGAGATGCGTTCCAGTCGTCGATGCTTGGGAATACTTTAGCAGTCTCATCCCAGTCACTACCAGCTTTGACAGATTGCTTTGCCAAGTCAACCAGAGTCTCGACCGAGACCGATGTGGGCGTCGCGTCTCGCAGCCCTTGCTGAATGAGATTGTAGATAGATTGCTTAGAATCAGATCCGGATGATAGTATTGTCTGAATGGAAGCATTGACGGCTTTAGCGCCCTGTGCCACTTCCTCATCTGGAGACTCCGAGGCGAGAAGTAGGCCTTGCAGAAGGCCGGAGCCTTGAGGACTGGCGACAAATTCTCGGAGCATTGGCGGGTTTGACTTGACTATTTGACGTAGGCCCTGCAATGAGTACGGAGCCTGGTGCGATATCGAGAGGGTTTCCGTCATGTAAGCGAGGATCTCATCCGTTGTTTCCGGGGAAAGTATCTTCGCTGGCGATTGAAGCATACGGTTGAACGAGTCCCATTCGGTAGAACCTTCTACGGCTTCGCGTACGTTCGCAGTGATGTACTTCTGCAACTCAGGGTCCGAGGTTGCAAGATCGAAAGAGGGCGGGATCCTCGAAGAGGTAAGAATTGCTTCAAGCGCCTTGGTCTTCGCCGGAGAGTCTGTCTCTTTGAGAACAGTTTTGAGCGACGCGCTCCATGCGTCCTTGAAATACGCGCGATCGGACTTAGTATATAGTATGTCGATCAGGTATGAAGACGAAGGAGACAGCACCAGACCTGGGAGATTCTGTTGTATGAATGACTCTAGATCTTGTTCGGTTTGGGTAGATGCGATCAAGCTAGGATTTCGTTTCGGCAGAACCGCGATGGTGCCCGCTGCGCCATATGGCTTTCCGTTTCTGTTCTTGAGTACTTCCAGAGCTTCCGCAACTATTGAAGAGCAAGCTTGGGAAAGAACAGATTGTAGCTTCGCCAAATTCTCGATCGTGAGCGCTTGGTCTTGTATAGTTGTGAAGCGTGTGGCGTGCTGAATGACGCTCGTTTGAGACTTCTCATAGTCTTTCGACTGCTCGGGGGCCAGGGTTTTGATAGCATCGATCAATTGTTGTGAGAAAGTAGGCCATTGCTCTTCTAGCACAACGGCCATTCCTTGAATTCCTAATGCTTTGGAGAGCAGACCTGAAGCATTAGAAGGCACAGCCCAATGCGAGGTCTCTAGCGTCGGTCGCAAGTACTGCGTTATGATTGGTAGCACCATCTCCTGGAGGAGCTTGGTCTTGTCCTCATCACTCAGTCGCTGAACCAGATACCCAGCCACTTCCAGGTACGCTTTGAATCCCGCTTCGTGATTGTACTTTGGTTCGTCCTTGCGGATAATGCCACCGTGCAGGGCGTTCAGCAGCTCCACGGAGTCGGTACTGGATTGTGGCAAGACTTCTTCTGGTATGATCTTCAACAGCTCAGGTATGCGGGCCCAGGTATCACGAGGTCCTAATTGAGAACCCTTCTTCAGGGACTGCCGTAGGCGTCTGTCTACCCCGGTCTTGCTCTTGTAGTCGGTAGTCCACACGGAGGGATGTTTGGAGGTGAGAAGGGTCAGAGACTCGACGTAATCGCCGACAGAACCGGTCTGGTCGGAGTTCAATCCCTCTGCCACGTAAGCTTTGCTAAGGGTATCGAGGTTCTCTCGGACAGCAGCATCCTCCTTCGTGACACATGTCCTAAGAAGACGGTGCACTGCGCGCCGGATGCCAGCGTCATTGTATGAAGCAAATTGCCACAGCTTCTTGTCGCCAATCAAAGTCTCGTAGTCGGCGTGGTATCTGGAGAGCTCCTCGGGCTGCAGGTTGTTCAACAGGCTGCCCAGTAAGGATATGCACGCCGAAATGACGCGGCTGTACTTTGCTTCCGCGTCGTCTTTGCTGACTATGCGCTCGTCGCTCAGAGTCGCCGTGCTCTCCTTGTCCACTGCATCGCGACAGTACTCTAGTATGGGTTGTTGGTAGACCTTCCGAATGCTCTGCAACTTCTCGGGTGTGTTGAAGACTTGTCGGAGCGAGGTCTGCGTCGCGTCGACTACGGATCGGTCGCTATCGTACAGACCGCATAGCCAAGCTGCCACGCTCTTAGGCATGTGTCGTGCTATGCGCTTGCCGGCGGATACGGCGAATTGGCCGTGGACGAGGTGGGCATTCTGGCGAACGGCTTTCGCGTTGTCGATCGAGGTTCGCGGGTATATCTTGATCCATGCCTCGAGCAGGCCCTCTTCGACTGGCTCTTGCAGTGACGATATGTACGATTGTATGTCCTCCAGCGCCTTTGCCTTGGTAGTGCTGTCTTTCTTGGACAGGTTGCGGAAGTAGACGACGACGTTTGGGTCCGAGATGGCAGAGAGGTCTGGGGGTTCGGACACGTAGGACAGGGGCGACGTGCTCGCGCTGAAGGCTGCTGATGCGCCGCCGAACGCGCCGAAGGAGGTCGTGGCCGCCCGCGCACTGCTCGCCTGGGCCTTTGCCGCACGCTTTGACATGGTGGGGTTGCGTGAGGGCTGTGTCACTCAGGGTCGAGGTCGGAGAAGTAGGCGGGATGTCTTTGAGGCGATGAAACAAGTGAAATCCAACTGCAGCTACGTATCCAAATACACAAAAGAAACACGCGCTCGCACGTCAGTCACCATGGCAGAGGCTTGCGGATTACGCGAAATATGCGGCTCTGCTTGATGACGGCACCAACTGTGGGTAGCGGAAGACGGTGGGGACATCCCTGCGATTTGCCTAGACCCAATCCGTGCTAGTGTTGTCGCGCTGACCGCGACCGAACTTCGTCTGGAGGCAACGCACACTCGCAACTTCTCTTCGTTTCCGCCAACTCCCCTCCGCTACAACAAAATCCGCGCGGGCGGTGGACCATCAACATGAGGTTCTACATCGATAACCTCCCCGTGCTATTCCCATATCCCCGAGTATATCCAGAGCAATATGCCTACATGTGCGATCTCAAGCGCACCCTGGATCAGGGTGGCCACTGTGTCCTCGAGATGCCTTCAGGAACGGGTAAAACCATTTCTCTGCTCTCGCTCATCGTCGCTTACCAGCAGCACTATCCTGAGAAACGGAAGCTGATCTACTGTTCGCGTACCATGTCCGAGATCGAAAAGGCTTTGGCTGAACTCAAGGCGCTGATGAAGTACCGCACTACCGAGCTAGGCTACGAGGAAGAATTTCGGGGTCTTGGATTGACCAGTCGGAAAAATCTCTGTCTGCACCCGTCCGTCAAGCGAGAGAAGAGCGGGACCGTAGTAGACGCGAGATGTCGCAGCCTGACTGCTGGCTTCGTGAAAGAGAAGAAGGAGCGCGGCGAAGATGTTGAGCTTTGCGTGTACCACGAGAACTTGGATCTCTTGGAACCTCACAATCTCATACCGGCTGGTGTATGGACTTTCGATGGCATACTGAAGTATGGTGAGCAGCAGAAACAGTGTCCGTACTTTACAGCCCGGAGAATGATGCCCTATTGCAACGTCATCATCTACTCCTACCACTACCTCTTAGATCCCAAGATCGCAGACAGAGTCTCCAAAGAACTATCCAAAGACTGCATTGTCGTTTTCGACGAAGCCCACAACATCGACAACGTGTGCATCGAATCTCTCAGCATCGATCTTACCGAAGATGTACTCCGGAAAGCTACCAAAGGTGTCAACAACCTCGATCGCAAGATTACAGAAATGAAGACTAGTGACGCGACCAAGTTGCAAAATGAATACGCAAAGCTCGTCGAAGGTCTCAGAGCTGCCGATGAAGCGCGAAACGAAGACGCCTTCATGGCGAATCCAGCATTACCAGACGATCTCCTCACAGAAGCCGTGCCCGGTAACATACGGCGAGCAGAGCACTTCGTTGCCTTCCTCAAGCGCTTCATCGAGTATCTCAAGACGCGCATGAAGGTTCTCAACGTCGTCGCAGACACACCACCGGATTTCCTCAAACATTGCAAAGACTTGACCTTCATCGAGCGAAAACCACTCCGATTCTGCGCCGAGCGTTTGACATCACTTGTCCGAACCTTGGAACTCACTAATATTGAAGATTACCAGCCGCTCCAGGAGGTCGCTACCTTCGCCACGCTAGTTGCCACATACGAGACCGGCTTCCTCTTAATCATCGAGCCCTTCGAATCAGCAACGGCAACAGTACCAAATCCTGTTCTGCATCTCACCTGCTTAGACGCGGCCATAGCCATCAAACCTGTCTTCGAGCGCTTCTACTCCGTCATCGTTACTTCCGGGACCATGTCTCCGCTGGACATGTACCCACGCATGCTCAACTTTAATACCGTTGTTCAAGAATCCTTCACCATGACACTCACACGGAAGACATTCCTACCAATGATCGTCGATCGCGGTAACGACCAGAACCAAGTCACATCGCAATTCGAACACCGCAACGACTTACAAGTGCAGCGGAACTTTGGCAATCTGCTCATCGAGTTCTGCAAACTGACGCCAGACGGCGTAGTCGTATTCTTCCCGTCATATCTCTACATGGAGAGCATCATCTCAGCATGGCAAGGCATGGAAATTCTCGACACAGTCTGGAAGTACAAACTCATCCTCGTCGAAACACCCGACGCCCAAGAAACCGCTCTCGCGCTAGAAACCTTTCGCACAGCCTGCAACAACGGCCGCGGCGCCGTCCTACTTTGTGTCGCGCGAGGAAAGGTCAGCGAAGGAATCGATTTCGACCACCACTACGGCCGCTCTGTGCTGTGCATGGGTGTACCATACCAATACACCGAATCCAGAATTCTGAAAGCCCGATTGGAGTTCCTGAGAGAGACCTACCGCATCAAAGAAGCAGACTTCCTCTCCTTCGATGCCATGCGCCACGCAGCCCAATGTCTAGGTCGCGTCATCCGCGGTAAAGACGACTACGGAATCATGGTACTGGCAGACAAACGCTTCAACAAGAAGCAAACCCAGCTCCCCAAATGGATCCAACAAGGCCTCGACGCTAAGAGCACAAAGCTGTCCATCGACCAAGCTGTAGGCGCCGCAAAGGCCTTCTTGAAAGATATGAGTGTCCCGTTCAGCCGAGCCGAAACAGAAGGACACTCGTCATGGTCGCTGGAGGATCTAGAGGCGCATCAGCGCAAGAAGGAGGCTCATGGCATTAGTGGAACGGACAACCCAGCTATGCGCGCGTTGGAAGGTAGAGCCGAAGTCGAGCGCATGGAGGTTGATGAAGTGGACGAGTTCGGAGGCACGGCGGATGTTGATGCTGAGATGGCTGAGATGGCAACTGTCGACGCATAGAATGGCCCAGGCGACAAGCCAATCCCTCGTGAATATCCTTACATGAAGGGCGGTGTTAGTGAGACCGGCGATTGATCATCGTAGCGCTTGGGTTGGATAACGCATTTTGGGCGCGCATCAAAGGGTGATTTGGAATACAGTAGAAGAATTGAATTGAAGGCGCATGATAAACCGCGGTGCTAAGATCATACACTTGACAGACGTATGTGTGGCTATACGGTTAGGTGTACACTTGCAGATGATCGGCACGTTAGAGTAGGCATGTAGGATCGAGTTACAAATATCGCATTCAACTATGAACCTGTCAGGACAGAACGCCCTGCTAGGAAACCATACACATTTCAAGCGACCGGACTCCATGCGTGCTACTTAGGAAGAAGAACCAACGCCCCAGTCCGCCATGCAGAACTCCTCAGGAAAAGAGAAACTCGGACCACATGCTGTGTTGTAGCGACAGACACCAAGAACCCTAACCACGTTCTCATCTTCTCAGTACGCTTATATCTCCATATCCATGAACAACCATTTCTTGCTTGTCAACTCTTCGCCCTGGCTGAACTCGTCGAGCGTTGTAAGGCCGAAGCCGATCCAGCCCAGATCCTTCGTTACGTTGGCCAGAGCGGCTTGGTCGACGTCGCGGTCGATGCACAGGACGAGACGATCGCAGGAGAAGTAGTCGACTTCGCAGAGTTCGAGGAGGGCCATGAGACTGTGGAACGTTAGTATATCAATTTCGAGGACGCGAATATTGACTTACCCAGCCTTCAAATCCCCGTTGATGACGGATTCATCGAAGAAGATGAACATGGCCCTCTCGTCTTTCTTCTGAGCAACGAAACCCCGGAACCTGATGCCACCAACGTAGTCCCACATCTCAATGTAGTCGGCTATCGCACCCTTCTCCTCCTCGAACCGCACCATTTCAGGTGCAACAGAGTCAGTCGAAGAGTCCGAGTAGCGACGAGCATCAATACCGTAGTCGTTGGTGATAGCGGTGGTTGCAGTCGTAGTGTTGTCATATGGCATACCCATCACTAGCGAGTTCTGGCGATGCTGGCTCCCCTCACCCAGGAATACAGATCGCAGTGTCTCGCAGAAGAGTCTCTCACACTCTCCCGTGATGGTGTATGCTGCCCCCCCTCTGCGCGCCTTGCCACCTTGGGCGGTGGACGCGTTTTTGGCGGCGAGGGGGGGACTTGAAGGGGGTGATGGAATTCCCTGTGAATGTTAGTAGTGCCACATACGTAGAACGTAAGGCGTGGACATACCGAGCTGACCTCAGGAACACCACCCGGCCCCGGCAGACGGGGTAGTGGAGTAATGGAAGCCGTGAAGGCTGGCAGTAGCGGTGTTTACGGAGTAGCAGCTAGCGCGGACATTGCTCGCGGACGAGTACGAATGAATGCTACTATTACTACTCATACTACTACTGCTTCGTTTCGTCATCGCCATTGCTACGGTATTGCCACGGTTGGTTCGGTATTGGTGTAGTGGGGTAGTGGTGTCGAAGACGGTGGTGCGTAAGCGAAATTGTTCTTTGAGGTAGTTGCGGTATCGTTGTGTAACAGAGGGCTTGAGTCGACGTTGGAGTTGGGCGAAGACGAAGAGGAGTTGGGTTATAGCGCTGTGGGGTCTTTGGGGCTCGTGCACCCGTCTCGCACTCTGAATGGTCCGCCACTAGCGCTAGAATCTTCGCAATCTCGGAAGCCTCGGTTCTGCATTTTCTCACAGTGACTTACATGAGTTTGAGGATATCGGAATCGAAATGTGAACAGCAGGGTTGCAGCATGTCACCTCGATCATGTGGCACTTTTGCAGACATGGCGCGTTCTGGATGTTGCTTGAAGATTGTGTATTACTACCGCTCGTACATCTCAACCGGAACACCGTAGAACTTTTCAAAGTAGCTTCCTCAGCGAACCTTTGCTCTTTGGCAACATCGCCTCGCTATATCTCTTACAGACCCGCCATATGGAAAAGACATTGGCGAAGAGGACTGAGAGATCCTTCCTCCTTGCACACATCTAATGAAACAACCCCAGATTATGCAAGTCGGATATCTCAGACGACGCGCTATGCAGTTGATACAGAGACAGAAACGGAAATGAGAATGGCGCGAACGCACGCAGGCAGGCGGAGTCCTGCACGGGAGTGGATCCGATCCTGACGGGACCAAGTGGACCCTACTGCGCGTGGATTTTTGCAAGGTCGCGCTTAACCGACCGAGATGCACTTGATGTCGAAGATCAAGTCAGAGTTAGGAGGAATGTCCGGGGGAGCACCCTTCTTGCCGTAAGCCATCGCCGCAGGGATGGTAAGACGACGCTCGCCCCCGGCGGTCATGCCAGCGACACCGACGTCCCAACCCTTGATGACTTGACCGACACCAAGCTTGAACGAGAATGGCTTGCCCTTCTTGTTGGCTGCGTATTCGTTAGTCATGGTGGTACCATATGGAAGTTCGACAACTTACAGTCAAAGACCTTGCCGTTCTTCAGCTTGCCAATGTAGCGCATCTCGACGCGGTCGCCCTTCTTGGCGGCTTTGCCCTTGCCCTCCTTCTTGTCGTCGACGAGAACACCACTGACGGTGCGAGGTCCCTTGGCGGCCTCCTTCTTTGCCTCTGGCTTGGCGTCAACCTTGGGGGAGCCAGTTGGGCCCTGCTCAAGGTTCTTAGCGAACTGAACCTTCTTCTTGTCGCTGCTGGGGGTATCAACCTTCTCAGCCTTCTTCTCTGGCTCTGCGGCACCGGCAACAGCCTGGCCGTCGTTCTTCTTCAGCTTCTTAGCCTGCTTCTTGCTGAGCTTAGCATCACCGTTGGTCTTGCTGATCATGTCATCGAGGGTAGCATCATCCTCAGCAGCGCGCTTCTTGCTTTTCTTGCTGGCGTCAACAAGCTTGGGTGGCTCCTCATCGTCAGAGTCAACCTCAGTGATCCTGGGGTCGTTCATGCCATCGAGCTCATCATCCTCTGATTCTCCCATACCGTCGAGCTCCTCGTCTTCGGAGCCGAGATCGTAGCCGAGCTCGTCGAGACCGTCGTCCTCGTCGTCTTCCTCATCATCCTCGTCGGGGAAGGCGAGGTAGTTACCGGTAACGTAAACGTCGTGAGTGCCGCTGACGGAAAGGTAGACCTCCTCACCTTGACGGACGGTGATGTCGAGCGGTTGCTGGTAGTGCTACGGAGGTATTAGATGGAGTCTGTTTGGAATTGTCATGATCAAGCATACCTTCTCGGGGTCGAGAGTGCACAGAACGAGCTCTTCAGGCTCGTCGTCCTCATCCTCATCGTCCTCATCGTCCTCGTCGCTCAAGTCGTCATCGGTGACCTTGGCCTTGCCCTTGGCCTTTCCCTTGCCGTTGGTCATGCCGTCGATGTCCATCTCATCGGCCTCAAGCTCTTCTTGCAGCTTCTTGGTGAGGGCTGCCTGCTTGGCCTTCTTTGACCGGGCAGGATCGCTGGGGCCACCGTTCTTCTCGCTCTCGCTATCGTCGGAGTCGGACATGTCCGAATCAGCTTCAGGGAGCGCACCAGCGGCACGCAGACGAGCAGCGATAGCCTCGATGTCACCCTCCTCGTAGTCCTCATCATCATCATCGTCCGAGTCAAAGTCCATGGGCACTCGGATGAGCTTCAGAGTCGCGCGAGGGTGCTTGTGCTCGTCGTCGATTTGAGGCTCGGCATCTGGGTCGATAGCCGCCATGGTGATGCGGAACTAATCATTATCAGTACTTTGCCATGGAATTGCGCATGCGACAGAGTTTTACTGCGAATTTTCGGCGCATAAAACTTCGTAACGCTGAGCAGGTAGAACCGGGCGTCAAGGCTACTCACAGTGGAAGACTGGTCGTCAGCAGCCAGGATGGGAAAGTTTCCAGCTGGAATGCGACGTCCGTAGACGCCTACGGGAATGGCGGACGACATCTTGGAAGTGGTCGCAAGTCTATGTCTGGGAGAGCTGACGGGATTGTTGAGAATATGAAGTCGGCGCACGTTTTTGTTGCTCAGGAAGTTGCACAGCTCGAGGACAGCTGGTAGAGCAGGATAATAACGAAAAGCGAGAAACTGAAGAGCAGCGACTTCGAGAGGTAGAAAAAGTTCGCCAAGGCCTGCAGCTTTCTCTTAGCGTGCTTTCACCGCCGGCAGAACGATCCACTTAGCGTCGCTAGCGTGACGTATTCGCGGTCCTCCAACGCGCCACGGCACGCGCCTTTCACCACCAACACCGATTTCGACATGCGGCAGCCGACGCACCTCCGCGACGCCCCATCATGACCCCGGCCCCGATGAACGCTCTCGATCCACCACACCACTGTCACCATGGGCTCGCGCCTAGAGAAGAACTCCGAGTCGGTCCGCAAGCGCATCGCCAGCCACCAGTTTGACGGCGAGGATGGAGAGGAGTACCGCGGCTCGGCCTTTGGCGGCTTTACCGACTACTTCAGGCGGAAGAAGATCAAACTGCAGAATCTCGATGCCGACATACGAAACCAGGCCGGCAACAAACCTCAAATCTTCAAGGGCGTCGTGGCGCATGTCAACGGCTACACGCAGCCATCGCTCAACGACCTGCACACCTTCATAGTCCAACACGGCGGCGGCTTCATGCAGTATCTGGATGGGAAGACTACGGTCACGCACATCATTGCCAGTAGTCTGACGCCGAAGAAAGTCGTCGAGTTCCGGAGATACCGAATCGTAAAGCCCGCGTGGGTCGTAGACAGCATACAAGCGGGCAAGTTGCTGCCATGGAGCGAGTACCGAGTAATTGATGAGGGCGAGAAGCAGAATGTGCTGGCCTTCAGCAAGGGCGGCATGACTAGCACCGCGAATGTCAAGACAAGGGGTTACCGGGACCAGACTGATGCCAGCTGGTACACAAGTCAACTGAGGGGAAGCCAGGCTGGTCCGGCGAGTACACCAACACCGAGTAGCAGCATGCGCGCGCGCTTTTCGAACAAGAAGCAGCGGCTTCCTACACCGGACGATGACATTGAGGATCTGCCACCCTCCCGCGAACCCGAAGGCCTGCCCGGCCAGGCTAGATCCGCAGAGTCGAGTAAAGCTGCGAAGCTTGTCACACCACCCAAGACCAGCCCTTCACTAGCCCCGGCTAGGACAGACGACGTGCCGGACGAGGTCGACGATTGTCTCTATACGGACCCGAGCCCTCCTCCGCCCCAGCGCGCAGAGTCAAAAGACGACAACGAAGACCAAGTTGAGCAACTGCCTCCGGTGCAAGACGCTCCAAAGCCTAAGAACCGGGAGCTGACTGCCGAGGAGCACAATGCAATACTTCTACGGGATCCAAAGGTTCGCAAATCTACCGTTGTCGATCCGAATTTCCTCGAACAATACTATCGCGAATCACGGCTGCATCATCTGTCGACATGGAAAGCCGATCTCAAGTCCCAGCTGCAGGCACTAGCGAGCGAGAAGACCTCGTCACAGAGGGCCAAGCAGAAGCGCGCCCCGGGCGCTCGGCGCTATATTCTCCACGTGGACTTTGACAGTTTCTTCGCAGCAGTCAGCTTGAAGAAACACCCAGAATACAAAGACAAGCCGGCAGTTGTTGCGCATGGCCAAGGCAGCGGGTCTGAAATCGCGAGTTGCAACTATCCTGCCCGAACATTTGGTGTCAAAAACGGTATGTGGATGAAGCGGGCTCAAGAGCTTTGTCCAGACCTTAAAATCTTGCCTTATGACTTTCCCGAGTACGAAGCCACCAGCCGCGCCTTTTACGATGCCATATTGGCTAGCGGTGGTCTAGTGCAGAGTGTTAGTATCGACGAAGCGCTCATCGATGTATCGAACCTATGCATCGCTGCTGGTGGTAGTGATGGCAAACAATACTCCGAAGGCAGCAGTCATCGCGAGCAGGCGAAAGCCGAAGAAATTGCACTCAATCTACGCGACGAAGTCAGATCCAGGACTGGTTGTAACGTTTCCGTCGGCATCGGTAGCAACATCTTGCTAGCCAAAGTAGCCTTACGCAAAGCAAAGCCTGCCGGACAATACCAGATCAAACCCGAAGAGGTATTAGACTTCATAGGTCAACTTCAGATACAAGATCTCCCAGGCGTCGCTTGGTCGATTGGAGGCAAGCTGGAGGACCAGGGAGTCAAACTCGTCAAAGACATTCGCGAGCTTACGAAAGAAAGGCTCGTTCAGATACTAGGGCCCAAGACTGGAGAGAAGCTTTACGAGTACGCAAGAGGTATCGATCATCAAGAAGTAGGGGAGCAAGTCGTCCGCAAGTCTATTTCTGCCGAGGTGAACTGGGGCGTTCGCTTTGAGAACCAGGAGCAAGCTGATGAGTTCATTGCAAGCTTATGCGGAGAGCTCCAGAAGAGACTGTTGAAGGAGAGGGTAAAGGGCAAGCATTTCATGATGAAGATTATGCGACGTTCTCCAGACGCTCCTCTGGATCCTCCCAAGCATCTCGGCCACGGCAAATGCGACACGCATAACAAAAGCCTCACGCTTGGTGTCGCTACCAACGCCAAAGAAATTCTTACGAAAGAGGCATTAGGCATACTGCGCGGTTTTGGTTTCACCCCAGGTGAGCTTCGAGGCATCGGCATACAGATGACAAAACTTGAGCCTATGAAGAATGCCACGGATGGTAGTCTTGAAGGCTCACAGCGACGACTACAATTCAAAGTCGGCAACGCGGAAACAGCTCGTGTGGCGCGAGCCCCAAAAGCAGTTGAGGAAGACCCCATCCAAGACGATCCCGAGACCCCACGAAAGTCCAAAGCCTCGTCAGGAGAAGAGCATGTCCCTTTTGGCGCTCAGACACTCAATGCATCAACACCTTCACGCCGCCCGCTAAACATGTTAGGCACGCAGTTCATCATGCCCTCGCAGGTTGACCCCAAAGTACTGGCCGAGCTACCAGAGGACATTCGATCAAAACTGCTGCGCCAAACGCGTCAGTCTTCTCCTACACCTGCACGCAATGAAGACAAAAGAGGCAACCCTAGCACACCTACAAAAGCTTTGCCTTTCGCTATGACAGCACTCCCAGCCCAGTCTCAACTTGATCCCGATATACTTGCTACGCTACCAGCCGAAGTTCGTGCCGAGATACTTGCACAGTATGACGCCAGCATCACTCTCTTCTCTCCCTCTCGCCGTCCAAAGGGCGCGGACCAAACGATACTACCCCAATCGCCACGCAAGAATAGAATCATAGGTATCCCTGCGAAGAAAGCCATTGTACCTGTTAAGCGTGGTAGAGGCCGGCCACCAAGATCTGCAATGCTTGCTGCCGCTGCTCAAGCAAAGTCTATTAGCATGACTGGTAAAACTCTCACTCAAGCCAATTTCATCTCTCTCAAGAACCCCGCACGAGAAAGTGAGAGTAGAGAGAACTCCGCGGGCCCAAGCGATGATGCCTTTGAAGCGCCCACCGTGCCCAAACCACCAAAGGAAGATGACCTTGACCCAGCCTTCCTCGCTGCGCTACCCGAAGACGTTCGCAAAGAGGTACTAGCACAACACAAAGCCGAGAAAATGAATGCTTTCCGTGTCTCTGTATCACGCAAGGCTAAACCTCCACCGGTAGTCGAACCGCCTACAGAACTACCCACGATCAAAGTCCCTCGCCCTGTAAAGCCGACCTTTACAACCGACAAACTCTCGGCGCTGGCGGACTTGAGGGTCGCCATGAAGCAATGGATTGGCGAGTTTACTGACGAAGGGCCGTATGGCGAAGATGTCGTTGCATTGATCAAGTATCTCAGAAAGGTCGTACTGGAAGAAAAGGACATCAGCAAGGCTGTTGGTATGGTGAAATGGATCGACTACGTCATTAATTACGAGGCGGAAAAGGACGAAAACTTTTCGAAAGAGCCATGGGAAACAGCTCTTGCGAAGATCAAGGACGGCGTCGTCAAGGCGGTGAAAAAGAGAGGTTTGGGCCGAGTGTCTTTTGACTAGTCTATGTATGTTTCACGACCTATCACGAATGAACGAGCCATGCCACGCTGCAGTATGTGCGCCAGGTTCGGGTGACACGATGATACCCGACACTTGGGTATCACCAAGAGAGAGTACATTCCACCCAACTTCCAAGGTGCATCATGCGGTCCATAGACATGGACACAAAGGCAACTTTGCGCTAGCACCCGGCAATAGGTTCAGTCATGACCTATGACAGCAGACATATGACTAGGAATCACCCCCATCGTAACATGTCGTCAAGAAATCCTAGCTCTTCTTCCTGAGCTATAAAGCAACCTATACTGTTCCACTTTGTCTATTCTTCCGCATTTTCAAGCAGAAGATCTCTGAAACCTACCGATCAATCACACAGCCACACCACGATACCAATAGTAGCCTCCAGCGGTACGTTAGCACCAGAAAGTACCGGCCACGATGAGATGCTGGACCACACTTACAATAGCGGGATTCATGGGGGTAGAATCCACTACCGCGAATGACCTCACCCCATCAAGGGTCTCTACAGGCATTGCAGTGGCGGTGGCTCCCACTATCGTTACAAACCACGTTCCGAGATCGAAATTTCGCTATCGATCTGTCCAGTTCCTGCTTGAGAAGATAGATCAAAAACTAAACTGGATGTCCTTCGTCGGTCCTGGAGGCGAGGCAGTCGACCCCTGTGCGCCTACATCCTCCTCCGCGCCCTTCCAGGGCCTCCATCGATGGTGGCCGACAAACAAGCCTGAATTCACTGGGACCAAAGATGAGCAGATCCCCGACAGATACCTTGAAAGGATGCCGGAGGTGAGTCTTGCAACGCTATGTGATACTAGGTGAAGCATCAGGCTGACAAACATATCCTTCTAAAGCCCGATGAAAGTCTTCCGATCATTATCAACGGTCAAGATAACTGCTACTACTCGAGCGACGGCGCGCAAAAGACTTGGATCGAGTGTGACGACAAGCACTTTGAACACTGTGGTTTCGACCCGCAGATCAAAGATCCGGAGATACACTGTGATAACGGCCGTCGGTACCGTCGCGTGTTCTTTTGCGACTTTGATGAAGAGGTGCCTAAGGAATCGTCCTAGCATTGGGCTGTCTGAAGAGAGTGGCTAGAGGCGCTGGGGGTAGCACTTGCCGGATCCAGGTCCTTCCAATTACACCCTTTTCGTTCATACCTGCTAGCATGACTGCCCGTTGTACTACTAGCCGCATTTCCTCTTAGCCATAGTTGATACTGTATAGGAACACGGAGACTGTGAGACATGGAAGAGCCCGCTATTCATTCAGTCTTGGTGTTACTGTGATACCTAGGTACGTTACCTGACTTACCCAGGTAGGTGCTCTACGCAGTATCAGAACATGACGCAATAATCGCGCCACGTGCTGCTCGATCACATGATCATAGCGCTGTTTCACCGTTGACGTTCGCACTCACTGTTGGCAGGTCACCGATTGCTCCTGCCCCGCTTACAGTTCCATGATCCACGATTTTTAGTCCTTCGCCAATCTAAGCTTAGGCGCTTATCTACTCGGCTCTCACCTTCACCCGCGCTTTCTTTCTGCTTTACAAAACCTAGCCAAGCTACTGCCATTTAACCCCCCAACTTACACTCGTCATGTTTTCGTGGCTCCCTTTACTCGTTTGGCTTGTCGCGTATCTGGTCGCGCCAGGTATCGCGGTACCTCTCGAGGTACCTAGCCCGCACGCACTCTCGAACAGTACATCAATGGCAACATCTGATGGAGCGATGGTCAGTACTTCATTTCGGTGCTCCTCAACAAAGCAAGACTGACCTTAGTACAAGCATATCCGCGACCCCAGAAAACTGAACTCCATCCAAATTATCCTCAGGAAGCAATCTCGGCTCTCAGCAAGAACAGAATACTATTACCACTTCTATGAGGGCCCTTCTGGTATGGCCGCGCCACTCTGCAGCCTGGGATATGGCATGAAAGACTTCCACCCTGTCGAATCTATGGGTCCATACTACTACAAAGGCGACCCAATCAAGAAGCCCCCGTTTCCGCCGGAGGTGAGTCTGCAGAACACTGGCATGATCTGTGTCTTTTATCGATTCGTTATGAGCAGGTACTGACTTTACGCGGTATAGATGACTTTCCCTTTGGATCTCCCAGGCAAATATGTCGGCTGTCAATATACCTCAACAGGCGGCGATCCAGGCTGGCTTGACTGCGGCCCGGGTCGTGACATTCTGCATTTCGACCAAGATGAACGGTATTTAGAACCAGCCCAGGAATGCGACTGGAGAGAGAAGGCATGGGATCATCGCGGTTTCTTCGTGGATACTTAGGCTCGTCTATCAATAAGAAGTTGTGCTCGAGGATGGCTGGGGCTGGAACATGCGCACAGCGCAGAGCGGAGATACTCTACATTGTGCGAAGGAATGCATGCATATGCCGCTCAGTCTCTCCTCCGTTTACTACAGTGCAATGTCTTCATACTTCCATACTACGTTTAGCATTACTAGTGAAAGACCCTGTGTTTGTTTACAACATTCCTTTGTCTCCCGCAAACGCTCAACCGCTGCTCTTCACAGCTCACCGCTTCTCTACCCCACTTTGAAGACTGATTACTTCAAGTCATCGACAAGCATTTAATCTACATCAAAGCTTCTCATCCAGCTCTCTTCCTCTAATCAGCGAAACACAAGACCCAGATCAACTTCCAATTCGCCATGCTCAACTGGCTTACTTCACTTGTCTGGCTACTTGCCTGCTTAAGCCTTGTATTAGCAGTGCCTGTCGACACGCCTGCCGGTAATGTCACATCTATAGCAAGGCGCAATACTGCGAACGTATGTTTATCAGCCCTTTTGACGCACTCCCGTAGCAATCTTGTAGCACTCTTGCTGATGAAGCTAACTAGGCATCTAAATATCCGTACTCCCTCCAGCTCATCCTAAGTAAATTCCCTGTGCGCCGATACAACTGGTTCATCTTCCAGGGACCCCAAGGAATCGCAGTGGATCCTTGCCTGGACCCTAAAGATGATCCGAACTTCGAGCGGGTCTACTTCGGAAGGGAACTCGCGGGCGAGGAGGACGACATCGCCCATCCGCCGTTTCCCCCTCTCAGTGTAAGTAGAATATTCTTAAACTCTTTGCTGAGTATCGCATGCTAACTCGCACACTCTTATAGGTATACGCTGACATCGAGTATTCCGAAGACTGCCATTACATTGGTAGCGGCGTCGACGCTGGTCAGTTTCGATGCGGGGATTACTACATCATTGATTGTGCAAAAGATCCGCGCTACAACGAGGCAACCTTCAGATGCCCGGATGGTCGGGAATATCACCGCGGATATAACTGCGAGTTCTGAGGAGGCAGGCTAGATGGACCCGGGCTGATGGCAAGCGTATGTAAGGGTTAACCGTATGGTTCAAGCAGGCTTATTTGAGTGGTCATCTCACCCAACGTATGCATGTAGGGTAAGGAATGCACTCGTCCTCAAGCAATATATTCGTCCTCAAGTAATGTATATGCCCAGGTGTCCTCAAGAAACGTACTCGTCCTCAAAAAGTGTAAGCGGGGAGACAGGCTCGTGTGCGAGTTCTGACGCGTTATTTGCCCTCTGACCCTATCTTAGCGGCTGCCGTTTGCTTCATCTGAGACTAACTTCAATTGGCTCCACACACGTGCTGCTCTTGCGCAGTTGCCTACTTAACGCACTCACTTCTCACCACGAGCTTGTCGAGATATCGAGCTCCAACGCCAATTCAGAATATCGCGTCTCCGTTCATACACACTTCATCAACTCGACACAGCCGGCCTACGAATCAATAGCAACTATGTCTTCCTTAGTCACCTACCTCGTGTGGCTCTTCGTCGGCCTCGGCTTCGTTCTTGCCGCACCCGCTGAGCAGTTTGCAGACCACCCCACTGCCGTGAGTGCGCGATGGTGTTGAACGTCAAGCCTCGTACTGACTACGTTCAAGGGCCAGGGTCCGTATCCCTACTCCCTCCAGATCCAGGTCGAGGAGGTAGACACCAAGTACTACGTGTGGGACATCTTCCAAGGACCTAGCGGCGTAGCCGTGAACCCTTGTGGAGACACTCGCTTCGAGAAGGTCTATCATGGCGAGCCCGGATGGCACACCAACAAGCCAGACATGGACAGCCCTCCTTACCCTCAGAACTACTTGCCGTTCGTTCCCGAGGTGAGTTGGCTGCTATCATTAGACGCGCACCGTACATGCACTGACTCACTTCTAGTTCGAGGTCCCGATCGAGTACGGCAACCGCGGCGACTGTGCCTACCACGCCACTGGCAAAGACGCGGGCCAGTTTCGTTGCGGCGACTACTACATCATCGACTGCGCCAAGGACCCTCGATATGGACAACAAGTTTCTTGCGGTAACCCGCGTCCACGCTACGCTGTGGCCTGGTACTGCGAGTTCTAGAGGTTGGATAAAGAATCTGATGAAGAGCGATCGTGAGGGTGGGCAAGGCGCAGCTTGAGATGTGACTACAAGTCTCCTGCCTCCTATAGATATGGGAATACTGAGCCATTATACGTAGAACCAATGAATGTATGAAGAAGGCTCTCACTATCGTTCTCAGTCTCACTCTAATTACCCTGTATGGCAAAGCGTGAAGAGCTGTCGCCTAACTTGGTCGTTCGCACGTCCCCTTCCGCCCGCCTTTTCGCCTGCCTTTTCGCCTGCCTTTTCGCCTGCCTTTTCGCCTGCCTTTTTTTTTGCCCACTAGAGCCGTCAGGTGCTCGCTTCTGAGCCAAGAGATCATAGAATATAAATCTAGCTCACAATGGCTCTCGCTCAGCCTCTATCCCTAACACAAAGCTTATCCTGAAGGCCTGGACGAAACGCACAATAACATCTTCTTCAACATGTTCGCGTGGCTCACCCTCCTCATGGGCCTATCCATCAGTCTACTATTCGGCGCGACCACTGCAACATCTGCCCAGTTCTTGAGCCCCGAGGCGCAGGCTAATCGCACCGCACATGGTCTGGTACGTATGCATTATGTTCGGGGACGCAGTGCTCTACTGACCTTATGTTAGCAAGCTGATGTGTTCACCAATTCGGTTCAGATCATTCTTGAGCGTTACTCGATTGCGGACTTCTACTGGTCGTTGTATCTAGGTCCTTATGGTGTGAAGATGAATGCCTGCAAACCAGGAGACTTCAAGCTCGGCTCGCAGATAGGTGATTTCGACTATGATCGCAACGACATCAACAACCCCCCAAACCCACCCGCGGTAAGTGAATCCATCGATTGCAGCTTGGAAGTGCACATGAAACTGACTACAGCGTAGACGGAGCTACCTGTTCCCGAGTGGATGGGCCGCAAGGACTGCAACTGGAAGACCAACGGTCACGGTGATGTCGGTCAGTTCGTATGTGGCGACTGGATGATCTACGACTGTGAGCGAGATGCGAGTTGGAACGATGGAGCGATCTCATGTACCGGCCAAGGTTGGTCGTACCATCGGGGATACGCCTGCAATTTCTAGGCTGGGGTTCTTCGTGCGCTGCATAACTTGGCAAAAGAGTCTTTTGTCGCTTGAGTAATGTGGTGGACGGTCTTGGGATTGGGATCTTTCTGTCTGCAACAGGGCGGAACATTTGATTTCCTCTTAGAAGCCGGACAGCTGGTTACCATCTTAGATACTTGGTGAATCGAATTGGGTATCGCTTCCAGATACACATGCTTATATTCTACTCGATTCAAAGTGCGCTAGTGGCCGAAAGAAAGCGCTTCCCTACTTGTTTGCTTGTATGGTCTCGGTGTGTGTTGTTCGTCTCTCGAGGGTGTCACTGCCTACGTGGCAACCAATCGGTTCACTTTCGCTTACAGTATATAAACCCGTCCCGCTGCTCGTGCCAACCCTCCTCTCCCGAACGGCTCTTAAAATCAAGAAGCAAGTAGCACGTCGACCACTACGCTGTTGAACATGCGGACAGTCACCTCATTACTTGTCGGCCTAGCCGCCATTCCCATTTGCACGGCTTTCGCTAAACCCGTCAAGTACACCGGCGTACGGAGGTCAGAAAATGGTACCGATTGGCGCCCCTCGGTCGGTTTTCTGAATACCAAGATAGACTTCACCGCTAAATCCGAGGTAGGACTACTACGACTCCTCGGTCCAGATCCTCCTCCTCCGATCCTCCGGTACAGAGTACTATTGGCAAATGTACCAAGGCCCAGCTCTAGTATCTGTGGATCCTTGCGGCTACCCAGACCCCTTCAAGGTCGCGGATTTTAAAGGCGTGTACCATTACGGACGAGACGCGATTGACAACCCTCCGCAAGCTCCTGCTGTAAGTCATGACATCTCTTGCGCAAGCTTATGCCATATCATAGAGATACATTGTAGCTGATAGCACATTCTTAGATGGATCTCAAGTTGTTGAAGTGGATGGACCATGATGATTGCGTGTGGAGAACGCAAGGTAACGGAGACGTTGGGCATGTAGTTTGTGGTGATTGGTTGGATATGCCCTGCGAGGTGGATACTTCGTACAACCAAGGCGTGTTGAACTGCCATGGGAGGTCTTTCCATCGTATGTACGCTTGTAGGTACTGAGCGCGGGTGAACGAGGTGCTGGTTGCAAGCGGGTCAACTTCGGGGTCGCGTCAAGGAAACTCGGGGGGCTGGTAGGCGCTTCTGATCGAGGCCCCACATTCCACAGCTTTGGGTACTCGCAGTATGCACATTGCGATGGCGTGGTTTGCATGACCAGATATCCTGTTCATTAACATTTCCATGCGCACCTGACTATCGCTTGCCAACCTTTGAGAATTTGGAGGACATGCCTTTGGCCTCGCGATTGGGGGAAGAAGAGACGTGAGCTGGAGCGTGCGCGATCATCAATGACGACATTTACTAAGCCCGGAATGGTTAACATGCATAGCCCTCTTCCCGAGGTCGCGAAGTGAGTTCAGTTTCGACCTTTTCCTCATCGTCTACATCTTTGCCAATTGTACTTTTCGAGTTCCCAGAATTCGCATACCCCGATACCCAGCGCACGAGTATCACATTAGTCGAGGTTAAAGTTTTGGCTTCTTCCGAGTATTCACTAGACTACGAGCCGAATGCGAGTATAGTATGATGCCGTATCGGTGCAGCCGAGGATGTCTTTTCGTCTTCGTCGATATGGTTGGTTGATAGTACCAAGTAGCAGGACATGAACAGGATGGTTATAAGGACGTCCAGAGCTTCTGGCATATGAACTTCCCCCTCACAATCATCAGTGTCAACACCGGATCGCTTATACTTTTCGAGCTTTTTGGGATAATCTTTTTCTTCTTACGACCTACTAGCTGCCTCGCGATATGGAAGCTCCTCTATTCTATTCGTCCAAAGGGCCAGAAAATGCTACCGCCTTCGTCAACGGACGAGTATACACCGTGGACAATGCGCAACCATGGGTTGAAGCCTTCATCGTCAATCCCGACGGCAAGTTTGAAGCTGTCGGCTCGAACGAGGAGATCAGAACCATTGCTAAAAGAAGAGGACTCGTTCAGTACCAACTACAAGAGAAATTTGTCATGCCCGGTATCCACGACGCTCATACTCACCTCTTAGCGGCTGGATGCCAGCGCACTGGGGAAGCACACGTCGGCTGGGATAGCACCGACAAGACCCTCGCCAGCAACATCAAGTCAGCTTCCTGTGCCTGCGCTTTTTCAAATGTCATGGGCAACTGGATTATAGGCAACTTTTACCAGGCAAGCAACTTTGCCGATGGCATTCCCGACAGAAAATACCTCGATGAGCTGTACCCCGACGACCCCGTAATCGTGCGCGAAATATCCTGCCATCGAATTCTCGTGAATTCTGCTGGGTTGCGTGAGATGGGTATCGACGACGACGTCAAGGACCCGCCTGGGGGTTTCTTCTTTCGTCGAACTGATGGCACACTCACCGGAGAGATTGTCGAGGCTGCAACAACTCCAATCTGGCGCGGTCTACGGCGCACACCACTCAGCTATGCCAAGACTGTCATCGAGTTTGCCATGTCTGAATGTCATAGGTATGGCATTACATCCGTGCAAGAGGCATCGGCCAACACCGTCTATCTACACGCCGTGCGTGAGCTGGAAGCGGAGAATCGCCTGCCTCTAAACATACACACACACATTGTTGCCGCACCGGAGAAAGCTCACGAGCGCGAGGAATCACTAGCAGCTCTGCTCAATGTTGCAGAAGCTTTTGAGAGCAAACATGTTCACACGAGCTTTGTCAAGTTCTTCCTCGACGGCGCTCCGCTTCCTCCACAGTCCACCCAATGCGATTTGAACGACCATGGAGCGCCCGATGCTAAGCATTTGCTGTTGAGCTACGACAAGCTACTCGAACAAGTTCTCAAATACGATGCTCGGAACATGACATGCAAGATCCACGCCGCAGGCGAGGGAAGCTTGCGGCTTGCGCTGGACGCCTACGAGGCTGTGCGAAAGAACAACCCCAACGGTCCCAAGCACGAGGTTGCGCATTGTAATGCAGTCCATCCAGGTATGTGAAGCCATCCCTGGGCATCCTTCGCGAGATCTTCATGCTAGCAAACTAACTTATGCTGTAGATGACATCCCACGGATCGCACGCCTGGGCCTTACCGCCGAAATGTCCCCGGCAATTTGGCACCATCCCATTGTGCAAGCAGCGCCCCATCTGCTCAAGTGGCCCTTCAACGATATTCTGGCTACAGGCGCTCGTATGACGATTGGCTCGGATTGGATCTTGACTCCCAACCCGAGTTTGTTCGATCCACTTGCACACCTGGTGGAGAGACTTGAAGTGCCTGAAACACCAGCCCATAAGGGATTGAACAAAAGGCTGGTAGCCGCTGCAACGCTCTGCCGTATGATCACGTTGGGAGGTGCAGAAGCGGTGGGAAGAAGTCGCACGCAGGGCAGCATTGAAGTTGGGAAGATGGCAAACTTCATTGCTGTTGACCAGGACTTGAGTCAGGGAGAGTTTGCTGGAGCTACAGTCTTGAAGACTTGGTTTGAGGGACGACAGGTGTATAGTTCTGTGCCGGGCCAGTTGGGGTTGAAATGTTGATGGCTTGGCCTTCTGTAGATTAGCCCCGCCATCAGCGCATTTCATTTCCAGCAATGAAGAGATCCGCAGCTTTGGCTATCCTCGCCTCAGTGATTGGCATCTTCAGTCTCAATCTTCTCTTCTTCATCGACTTCTCCAACCAGTGTGTATCCTTGAGGTTCCTTCACAGCCGCAACGAATATAACGCTCCCCACGATCAATGCCGCACCAGCGAACTTCCACCATCCCGGCTCCAGTCTCCATACAATCTTATCCGCTAACATAGCGAACACCACCTGCAGATTTACTATGTGAAGCGCTCTCTTCGAATCGCCGGTCATCAAGCTCGCTGCCAGGAGCCAATGCATAGCGAACCCCAATATGCCCAACACGCACACGAACAGCCATCCTACGGCGGTAGATGGGAAATTCAAGCCTTGTTGCTGTATGATGAGTGATGCCCAGCTGAGTAGCGTACAAATGGGCGCAAAGTATGCAACCGTTGTCATCGGGTGTACGTGCTCTCCTAGACACGACATCGTTAAGAAAGAGACTGCGCCGCCGAAGACACCGATAAGTGCCGCACCAATGGCCAGCGCATGTTCTCTAGGCGTATTCGTTATATGAGCGCTCCATGGCTGCAATACGCAGAGTACGCCAATGACCGCAATTAGAGCTGCGAGAATTTGAGCGACAGAGCAGCGCTGCTGACCTGGTAATAAGCCGAGGAGAAGAGCTGCGAGAATTGGCGCGAGGAAGTTGATCAGAGTCGCCTCAGCTAATGCGAGATAGCGCAGAGAGATGTAGAAGCCCCAGATACCGAAGAAACCCGCAACGCCTCTTACGACGAGTAGAGGGCGCAGCTTAGGAGGACCAAATGCACCACCGGGAATGGCTGCCGGGGACAGTAATATGTACGTCCACGACAGAATGGTGATGATCGACATCATAACAATGAGTATCTGGAGAACATTAGTATTTGCGTAGGTGGACGGGGAGCATATTCCCATACCTCGGAAGTACCGACTGTTGTGGTGCCTGAGCCGTCGCCGCTACGCTGCGTTCCCAGGATGCGTCCCAATGTCGCCAGGATAGTGGAGCATACTTGCGCCAAGAGCATGAGAATAATGCCGGCATTATTATGAAGGATAAGATCTGCGCTGCTCGCAACACCATGGATTTTATTTGTTATTGATGTAGCTGAAATCATGGTGTTGTGATGGGGAAGGTGTACGGAAAGCTCTCCGATGGAAGACGAGCTCGGGATGCAGGAATGTGAGACTTTACGTGTATTTGAAGTGTTTCACGCCTCCTTTCAGCACAACCTTCCCAAATGCGCAGCGGAACAATTCCTGTATTCTTTACCCTTGGTCGCGTTAATTGAAGAAGGAAATATGTGCCTTGAAACTCAACAATGCGGCTTTGGTGCGTTCTGCCGCACGTGCATCAACAAATTGCGGTTTGCGCAAAGGCTGCATCATAATGTTTTTGTTAATAGACTCAACAGGAGGCTATTCCATCTGCCTCGCACGCGGTTGATGATGAAGTTGAGCTTGTCATTTACTACCTCGTTAGCAAAGACGAGGGTCCGAAATGTATATCCAGCCCACTGCCGGTAACTGGACCCCAGCCATCTTTGCGGCATCGAGCAGGATTCTTACATGCGCCAGAAGGTTATCGCTAAATATGTGCGACACTCACTATGGCTGTGAATCTTCGCCGGTGACCCCTCATACCTTCTCTTATCCTTGACATCGAACCCGTCCTTGTGCAGAGTGCGTACTATCTTCCCATGCGTCCTTCGTGATGCGCCAGATCCACTCATTCCCAAACAACTTATCTTCTATTGCGTCAGCCGGAAATCCGAGCTTCTTGTTCATCAATCCCTTGAACGCAGTATTAGCATCTACACAAGCTATGTGTATCTCATCCATGCCCAGGACAGCAAAGCCATGATCAATGGCCATACACAACGACTCATAGCCGTAGTCTGAGCCACGATAACATGTGTCCAACATCAAGCCTGCGTCACCAATCAGCTTGCCATCAGTCTTTCTTATGCCAATCCAGCCCAAGCCGCCGGTACCGACAGTCTTCCCATCTATCTCGATAACGATGTTGGCACGCTGCAGTGGTAAATCGACGACCTGCCATTGCTTGATCAAATGCTCAATGGCGTCACTACTGTCAAGACCGGCACATGACTTGTCGTGCTGGACATTGCGATCGTCGGTGAAGAGTCGTAGGAGTGCAGAAGCGTCGTTCGTGTTAGGAAGGCGGAGATGCAGTTGGGGAAACGTAAGCGATGTGATACGTAAGTCGCTTTCACCTTCGGACGATAGATTCGTCGAATGTGTGTAGAAGACGGTACTACCGGTGGCGACAAGCGCAGGGTATTCAGTCCCTGCAGGCATGGTCTCGGGGTTTCAACGGGCTGGGTAACACTCAGAGAATCGGAGGTTTGCGCAATTGACTAGTGTGGTGTATGCAGATGGGTGCGCATACATCAGCTTCTCCGTCGATGCAACGTACGTTGGGCGTGATTGTGCCCGCCTCCGATGACGTGACGGCGTTCATCCGCGTTGACTTTAGGTATGATGGCAGCCAACAGATCAAGGCCCTGTTTGTTTCTGCTGAGTAGACTGACTGCTGACTGCGATCACAATACTTGCCGTAGTCGGTGAAGCTCGGTGAGGCTCCGACGAGGGTATTCCTGTGGGTGATGGTGTGCGGCACATTTGCGGCATGGGGCTTGGTGCCTCTACGCTATCCTGGAAATGGAAAATTGCACGTGGCCCCAGCTCAAACGTGAAAACAAAGGAGATGACGGCACCTGCATGCTTCAACACCACCTTCCTCCTTGTGCATATGCCGGAGTGGAGTGTATGCAAACATCATCTCCAAGGTTCCAGAGCCCGATAGGGCTTGCTCTTCCACCAAAAACATGCTGTGGGTAGCTGGCAAAGGGTTTTAGGTCAGCTCAATTCTAGCTTTCACCATCGTGCTGAAGCCTGGACATATCAGAGCTCACGACAACTTCAACGACGTACAACGTCTTGCATTACAATGTCTCTTCTCTGACCTTTGTACCAGGTTGTCCACATTGGGCTGACATAGTAGCGGCTATTGCACGCATGCTGGACGAACGGAGAGTGGCGGTGTCAGAGCATCGCTAGGTACCAGATTATCGCGTCGCCATCCCCAACAGACTACGTATATGTACACTCATTCGTTTGATGCCTTTCGCACGAATCCCGGGGTACCAGACGCCGTGTGATCATCGCCAAAATTTGTCTCGCGTTCGCATTAGACTAGAGATAAACTACTGCGCGACTATGCGTGGAACTCATTTCCTCTACACGACCGCTGTGGCAGTATACTGTGATTCGAAGCAACGTGGATGGTGAGATGGGTCACAGTCTTGCTACTATAGAAGGATTGGCTCTCGCCGCAAGGGTGTCGGCTCAGATGCACTGAACGCGCAACGCAGATCTTCCAGTCGCCACTTGCAAGACAAGATACACTTTCAAAGAGATCTGTCAATGGAAATTGTTGAGGCTAAACCTGTGAAACCGCCTACAGACTTCAATTGCGTCGCTTATCTGAGTATGTGCTTCGTCTCTAAGCATGTCTTTAGCTGACAGCGTACAAATCCTTTGCCGATGACGATGATGATGTTGAGGCCCATCTTGTGGCTTGCAGGGGGCTTCTGATTCAAAGAAGCATCGGAAAAAGTAAGACATAGTCTACAGACACGGCATCCACTTGGCTAACAGCCATGATCGCTTGAGGTGATGATGGTCGCGGTGCAGCTGCAGGAAGTAGACATGTTCCAGCATTTCCTACACCGCCGTATATAAGACTCAACCTCTGCGTCTATTCTAGCTAAAGCATTCTTCAGTATCGACCGTCTGATCCAGAGTACATAAGATCATTTTCCACTGCATCCCGCAAGAAGTCATTGCCTTCAATCCCAGCTTCTGATTACTTGTGGAAAGACTCAACCAGAGTTTAGCCAACAAGGTGGTCGCATCACTATGGCCGTCACAAGTTCACAACAACAGCGTGCGCTCATTCTTGATATCGGCGATGTGCTGTGTCACTGGTCTATCGAAAATCTCACTGCCATCTCTCCTCAAAGTCTCCACGCCATCACCCGATCGCCAACCTGGAGCGAACTGGAACGCGGCTGTATTAGCGAGACAGAAGCCATCCAAGCTATCAGCAAGGAGCTCTCTCTCGATCCTGACGCCATCGATACCGGGCTCATGGAATGCCGCAAGACATTGCGCGTCGACCAAGAGCTCACATTCCAACTCAAAGAGCTCAAAGCTGAGCTAGGTGACCATCTCAAGGTTTATGCCATGAGCAACATTGCCAAGGAACATTTCGCCTTTGTCAAGACCGTACTATCCGACTGGGATCTGTTCGACGGCGAGTTTTTGTCCTTTGAGGTTGGCATGACGAAACCTGATCTACAATTTCACCAGCATGTTCTGGATAGCCTCAACTTGAGCGACCCTTCTTCCGCGATCTTTGTGGACGACAAAGTCGCCAACGTCAATGCCGCCCGCTCCTTCGGAATTCATGGCATCGTCTTCGACTCCTCGACCGCTCTTATTCGTCAGTTGCGTAACCTTTTGATGGATCCTGTTGCCAGGGCACGCCGCTTCATGACCGTGAATGCGCACAAGCATACATCGTGCATTCAGGATGTCGCCCCCGTGATTTTTGATCACTTCGCCCAATTCCTCATACAAATTGAGTTGAATGATGATAGCGTCATCAGTCTCTCACCACCCGGCGCTTCCAACGCTGATGTCCAATCGGACATCCGACAGGCCCGTAGCCAAGCCAAAGCATGGAACTTCTTCAATGGCCCACCAGTCGGCACAACGAAAACGTGTAAGTAGAATCGATGAACAGTTGTGGTATATGTGCTGACTTCATACGCCTGAACCTAGACCCTGATGATGTCGACGATACAGCTCTCGCCTTTCTTGCGTTCTCTCCACCTGCAGCATCTGCCAATCCGATCTTGGACCGTATCGTCGAGAACAGGCACGATAAAGACGGTCTTATCATGATCTATCTTGGTGGCACGAGGCCCCGTGTATGCCCGTTCATTATGCTCAACGCCGTCCGTGCCCTCTATAGATACGGACGCGGCGCAGAAGTACAGCCCGAGCTCGAACACATTCGTCGCGTCCTTCTGAAAGGCGGTCACATCGATGGATCGGAACACTATCTTGCCAGCGAGACCTTTCTGTACTTTCTGGCGTGTCTCATCGAAGATAATCCCACTGCACCTGAGGTCCAGTCGCTACGTAAGCCAACGGTTGAGGCCTTACGTCAACGCGTCAATCGCCCCGGGGATTCTTTCGTCCTCGCCTCACGTGTCTTAGCATGCCAGAAGCTCGATGTGGAAACCCAATCTGACCTGGCATCTTTGAAAGAGTTGCAGGAATGTGACGGAGGCTGGGAACTGGCGTGGATATCTCGTTTCGGTAGGAGTAAGAAGATGATCGGGAACAGAGGAATACCTACGGCTTGGGCTATCAAGGCACTGGAGTACGAAGCCCAGCCATAGTTACACGAGAATGCTCTGCCGGCAAAAGGTCGACATTATAGAATAACACTTTGTGTTAAAATCATCTTATCACGGTTAACGGTCTACTACTGAACTCAGCTGATCCATCAACTCAAAAGAGTCGATACAATGTCCTATACACGGCGACGGCGGTACATCACTGTATACCGACAAAGATGTGCACCCACTGATGAATACCTACACTGCCGATTGACACGGAGGTGAAAGATGTACTCATGAAGGTTGTTCGCTCTTCCATCGCGCTCTTACTATCGCACTCTCACTATCAGTGACCAGCAGACAGATACAATCACAATTTTCGACATTCTAATCGCACCCTCAGCACCATCATACACCTCTCGGCCTTTGCAGTTGCACGAAATTAACAATGTCTACAGGATTTACTGGCGAGCGATTCAAGTACCCTGATGACGAATGTCTAACAGCGTACACCAAGGCTTTGGAAAAAGGTAGACTGCTGCATACACAGGCTCATTCTGACCAACCCAGCATTCCCCGGAGCGAGTTCCAATCCGTCTCCGACATTGAAGAGTGGGGCTATGTTCTGGATGTTAAAACCGACACCCGGATAGGGATTATGTGTTCGGCGCAACATGTGCTAGAAACTACCAGGAACGGCGAGACCTACCTGGCCACCGACGCCTGGTTTCTCAATAATATATATCTTGATGATGGCATGATCGAATCGGCGGCTAACTACGCGCCTCAGGCGTTGGCATCGGGCTTGGTAAAGTTCGTAGACCAGCCGGAGCGCGCAACGGTGCCTACGCTGTTGCCCAAACTATGCCACTGGAGCGACATGGCATACCTCACATGGATGCATGTTACTCGCACTGAATCGCCAAAGCCAGTGTTACGCACCGTCTCTCACTACGGTGACAGTGTTGCGTCTGAAATGGTAGTGCAGCATGTAATATCTGGAGTACAGCCGCGCAAATCTGGGCCTTATCTCGAATACGAGTTTGATGCAGACTCAGACGAAGCTTTAGCGATACTTGGGACGCCTGAAGGAACTGGTACCGCCTACCTACTGATACAACATCGGGAGGGGTTGGGTCGTCGGGTTGTCGACAAGATTGTTGCATCTCAGTTCGCTGATCCGGAATCTAGGCACTTGCAAATTGTGTTTCACATCAAAGATGCGGAGCAGGTAGATGGACGCGTCATGTAATTGAACTTAGTTGGTAGATCGACTCGTCATGTAATTGAATGTAGTCGGTTGCTAATTGATATTCGATAATTTGAATTTGTCGTCGCGCATTGTTCGGCTCACACAGTGCATTGACCTTCCACACTCTCCCTCTTGCATCTGACAACACGATCTAGTCATCTTGGCTTATCCTCTCCGCCATCACAGCCTGGTTCTTCTCGTTGGCATGTGCAAACTCCCTGTATCTCTTCTCTTCATCTGACTTGCTCGCTCTTACAACTGTTCGGTTCTCTTTGTTGAGCCCCATGCATAGCCTCGGGTTCTCGTAGAACATAATGTCGATTTGCTCCAGTGTACGTCCGGAAGTCTCAACGCCAAAGAAGTATGTGAGAGGTACAAAGGACGCGCAGACAGCTGCCCAAACCCAGAAGTAATGGCCGCGGATGTTGTCAAGACCGATCGGGGTGACCATGACGACCACGAAGTTTGACATCCAATGCGAGAATACGCCAACCGCTGTTGCCTTGTTGCGGACACGGAGAGGTTGGATTTCGGCTGAGTAGGACCATGATACGGGCAATATACCGAGAGTGAAGCAGTCGAGATACAAGAAGATGAAGGCTACAGCTGCTGCCGCGCTGGCAAAGCTGTTTTTCGCCAGACATCCGGCGATGATAGCCATGCATGTTGCGCAACCGGCTGACGAGCCCATGACTGACCATCGACGCCCGATCTTGTCGATATAGAAGTAAGGCGGCCAAGAGAACACGGCATACTGAGTGAAGGCCACGGAGGCAAGGATGAGAGACATGCTCGGAGAGTAACCGAGGTACTGCTGGAAGATGTAGGCGAGATAGTAGCACAGCGCGTTGATACCGCTCCACTGATTCATCATGTACGGGCCCATTCCGAGAAGAACACGGTGTAGATTGCGGGTCTTGGTGGCGTTGCTGAAGACTTCGCCCCAGGTGGGCTCCTCTTCGCTGCTCTCTGCCGCAATAGCGTCAAGAATCTCCTGGAGTTGGCCTTGCACTTCTTCGTCGTCCAGAGGCTTGTCCAAAAGTCGGCTGATAGTGTGTTTCGCCTCGTCGATCTTTCCACGCGATGCAAGCCATCTTGGTGTTTCGCACAGGAACGGGCAGAGCGCCAAGACCATGAGCGAGAAGAGGATCTGGCAAGCGACAGGAAATCTCCACTGCAATGAGCTTTCGGCGTACAGTGTCGCAAAGCACAGCCAAGAAGCGACTGCGACACCGATGATGATCAGAGCGGACTGAACGACGAGCAGCGAGCCACGGTTGTGCGCCGGCAATGTCTCTGACTGTAGGATTGGCACTGCAACCGTTGACAGCCCGACGCCGATACCACCAATGATGCGCGAGACAAACATCTGCCAGTAGTCAAAGCTGGCAGTTTGTATAGCAGCACCGATAACGACGATGAGGTTGGCGAGGATGATAGAACGCTTGCGTCCGATGCGTTCACCGAAGACGAAAGCCACAACGGCACCAAGCGCGCATCCAATATCGTAGATAGCGGTAACTAGTCCGGTCATCGTTGGATTCGGGTTGCCGAGGGTATCCTTGAAGCGCTGGCCACCCAGGATACCGCCGAAAAGTCCTTGATCATCTTCAATCGTGTTAGCTATCGGACCACGATGTAAAGTGAATTGCTTCAGGCTTACATCCGAAGAGAAGGAAGTCAAGACCAGAGGTCAATAGAATGACTGCGATGAGGCTCTTGCCTCTTAGTTCAAACATGATGAAGAAGACCCTGAACCCAATAGTCTGGCAAGCAGGAAGGGACTGCAGAACAATATGATCGTGAACCAAACATGTGGGCCGCAAACATGTATCCTTTATACTCGCAACCCCGTAGAGATGTGCACCGGCATCTCCTCATCCAGTTTAACGTCGATGCTTCTAATGTAGCGCCAGGTATCCATGTGGGATTTCTTAGCGGACCGTGTCCGGGGAAATTATGGATATGCGGGGAAGCGAATGCGGAGGTGAGAGATGTCAAAGCTTGCGCGAGAACAAGGCTTCGAGTAGGTACATTCATGGCGTTGCATCTGGGCTGAAGTCATGCTAGCTGGGCCGGCTGGGCGAGAATGCGGGGTTCCGCTTTAGGAAATGCCGCGTCCTGAGTGCGGAAGGTTTGCCGCGATTGAAGCACCAGGTGATTTCGCTGGTTCCTGTCAGCCGTCAGGATGAACTCCAGATAGCACAAATGATGACTCGTACTGTCTTGTTGTTTTTTGTTGATGGAATGTCGCATCGTACAAGCCTGGACTGCCATATCATCAGCTGTCAAGCCAGGGGTCTCGAAAACGTGCGAACGATTTCGCGATGCGCGTAGGGGAGGCTTATGTCCGTGATCAGAGCGTCGGATCGGAGTACTGCGAGGACAAGGGTGAATACCCGTGCATGATGCCCGGGCATCTGGGAGTATAGATAAAGATTTTAAGCTCCCTGCAAGTTTTGGTTGATAGAGATGATGGATTCGCTTTTCCTGAAATATCAACACGTCGAGTGGATTCGATATACGCAGATGAGAATGTGGAAAAAGACTTCGTGAGAGTATTTGATAAGTAAGAGTACATCTCAGGTATGTGTACCGTGCTTGTACATCACCTTCATGCCGCGGCACAACCCTCCATAATGAGACTCATGAGTATTGCCGCAAAAGATAATCTTGATGCTCGTGCTCCTTTCCAGTTCCACCGTCTGGTGGCATTCCCACATTTTCACGGAGCGTGTGGTTCTCTCATTCCAGCTCACCTAACATCTCTCTTGTCGCGCTCAAGCTCTTGGTATCTCCGTAGATCGCCGCGATCAGACTTCCATCGATTTTCGGGAATTCGCGTTGGAGCACTTCGACGTTATCATCATCATCGTCTTTTCTTCCTGCTGCCTCGTAACTCTGCATGACCTCAATTTGGTGAGAGCGGTCCTGTCCGGTGGGAAGTGCCATCTCCGTAGCTGTGCGACGAGGTGGTAGACCTGGTGGGACTTCGTCTTGTCCAGGGTAAGAAGACTGATTTGGATAAGAAGGCTGAGGCTGTTGTTGCTGATGGTAGGGTTGCTCAGAGAGTCCATGGGGTTGGGACTGCATGAATGGGTTGTGCGATTGGGCTTGGCTTGGCTCTTGGCTCCATGGAGAGGTATCCTGGTGTTGAGGGGGGTATTGCGCATACGGCTCTTGAGGAGGATGTTGGCCTAGCGGATTTGGGGGTGGCTGTTGAGCATACGGATTTGGAGGCGGGTCTTGCGGCGGTTGGTAGGCTTGGTAGGGGTTGTGGCTCGGGTTGCTCTGGCCTTGTTGGTTTCCTTGGTCCGCCCACGGGTTGTCGTTGTGGTTGGAGGCCATGACTGCAATCTGTGTACTGCTCGATGTTCGTGTGATAGGGATTTTGAGGGTTCGAAAAGGAGTGCAGCGCGCTTGTTTGGCAAGCAGGAAATCTTTGAGGCTCAGGGCTGACTGTTGGCTGACGAGTACGTGAAGGCGCGGTGGACGATGACGTACGCTTAGCGCACGTGCCTCTTCGCCCCGCTTCGACCAACAGAGGCCAGGCGCGTACTTGCTGCGAGGTCTAGAGAAACTTCGTACACTGGGCCACGGGTCGTATGTCAAAACTACGTTGTCAAGACAGTCGCCTCGACTCCACCACCATTGTGCTCCGTAACCATGTTCAGGGTGACAAGTAATCAGCGCGATGAGTGCAAGGAGCCTCGCCGGAAGCGGACACCCCTTGCATAACGCGGGCTGCTCCTTCAAGGTGCTTCTAAAGTACTATATATGAGCAAGCCAGGTAGGATGCGTAATTGTATCTTCATATTCACTGTATGAGAACACGTCCTCTCCATCGTTGCAGTCATGGCAGCGCTGAGCTTTCAGCCCTTTGTCCTCCGTTTGTTCAACGCGCCACTAGGTGTTGACTTCCTACGCAACTTGAGTGCCAAGATCTCACCTTTCTTCGACTGTGAGCGCGATCGATTATTTGCGTATATCAGTGATTGTAAGAGGAGAAATTTGCGGCGAAAGATGAGAGAAAAGAGGCTGGAGGACAAAAGGCATGGTAGGCGATGTTGCGCATCTTGCTCGCCGTGTTGAACAGGCTAACAACATATTAGAGAAGCAGCAACAACGCGCCGAAGAAAAGGAAAAACAGCAGAAAAACAATTCATGGAAAGAAAGGAACCGCGAAGCACAAATGAAACTCAAAGCCAAGATCTTGCAGAAGAAGAAAAGTACCTAGGTGAGTCCATGTCCAGCGGAAAACCATCGCCTGTGACGGTCATACATCAGCAAGATCATATCGTTGACTCTCGGCAGGCGGTAGTCATACCAAAACTCGTTAAGATCTCGACTTTCGTGTCAGATGGCGTTATTGTTCCTAACATTAACCCGAACACAATGGATGTACAGACTGCGCTCAAAGTTCCAAAGACTCCAAGGTTATTCCAAAGCTATGCCAGTCGCTCTAACATGTAGCCAATGTCTTACTCCGGGAGGTGGGAGGAGTAATGATGAAGATACATTGTTTGCTCGTACACACAGGTAGAGTCGGAGGAACTGTCTCCGTATCACATCGTTCTGCGTCTCTCGAGTTCAATTCCGTTGGTTCTCTCCACGTCTACTTAGCAACGTCAGTAGGTGTAAATGCAAAGTATGATGGAACGACGAACCCAGACTCTTGCATCCCCTTGCGCTTCTACTCTTTACCAGATGCCATAACAGTAAACCGGTCGGTGGGCACGTTCCGAGTAGCGTGACGAACGCAATGATGGCTTCGGTGGACCAGGAAGGCATGTTGACTAATACTCGAGATTGATTGAGGTATGAAGGTAGCAAGGTATCAAGATAACAAGGTATCAAGACAACAAGATATATAGCAAGGATCTAGGACCCTCTGTAAGTGTTGAAGAATCTCAGTCGGTCTAAATGCAAGATCATGGCATCAATTGTATACAAGTCAGGTTCCGCATCATTGGCTGAAGAGGGAGGACAGCATCACGTGG